TTTAATTTTTAATTTTTTTTCTGGACACAATATATTTTTTCATTTTTATGTGGTGCTGAGAATCGAACCCAGGGCCTCACACATGCTAGGCATGCGTGCGCGCTTCCACTTGAGCCACATCCCCAGCCCAGATAATGATTTTTTTTTTAAAGGGCTGGAGATAGAACCCAGGTGTCATGCATGCTGGCAAGTGCTATCACTGAGCCAGACCCTCACCCTACGGTTCCTTATCTAAGGATAGCTAACTGATAACAGGAAGAGGCCTGATGAATATGGGGGCCCTTTACCATGAATAGTAGAAAACAAAAATATATGGAAATAAGCATATTTTATCAAATAGGCAAAATCCCTCTCCTATTTACACTTTTATTCTTCATTTGACTTGCACGGTCAGCCATCTTTGTATGTTTGAGGGATTAATTAGAAGAGTAAGCAATGCCTTTAGAAAAAGTTAGAGGTTACTTGAAGCATATTTTTTGTGCATCTCCTTTTTGACAGTTTTCCCGTCTTCAGTCTCACTGAAGAAAAGGCTACATTTGGTGATTTTTAATCTTTTTAGGTGTGGGACTATTGTTGTAGTCCTTATTCTTAGCAAATATACACAGAAGTATTTAAAGATGTTTAGGGGTGAAATGATGTTTGTAAACCTTCAAACAAATAAAAAGAAAAAATATGTAGAAAAAGCACGTGTGACACAATATCTACAACTGCTGCATCTAGCTGGAAGGAAATGTTTCAATTGTTCCATTTTCCAGTTTTCCTGTATGTTTGGACATGTTCAAAATACAGAACTGGTGGTGTGAGGAACTCTATGGATAGGTGAAGAAAGATGTTTTTCCTCAACTTTTTTAATGGTGAAAAGTAGAAGAGTCCAATGAAAGTAAGCTGATTAAGAGATACAAACCTCCATTAGTACAGTCCATAATAAAGAAGTGTTCCTACATGATAACAAAATTCTAGACAAAACATTCAGTGTAAAAAGTAATAAATAAAAATGATCTGTTTGCAGATGACATGATCTTACACAAAAGAAAACCCTATGATTCTACCCAAGAGGTGTGGGGGGAGAGAGCTTTTTATTTTTTTTCCTTTTTTTTTCCTAATAAACTAAAATTCAACAAAGTTGCAGGGGCTGGGAATGTGGCTCAGGCGGTAGCGCGCTCGTCTGGCATGCGTGCGGCCCGGGTTCGATCCCCAGCACCACATACCAACAAAGATGTTGTG